GAGACAATTTTTGATAAGGTTTTTAAGTTCTATTTTGTCTTTAAAACCAAATTTTTAACGTCTGACTCGAGATTCACAATTTGAAACCGAATTTGTAGACTTCGAAACCAAATTCAAGATTCATAGTCAAATTCTAGATTTTTAAATTTAATCTAACGCTTTTAAACCGAGTTTGACACTTTAGAACCTAGTTTGACACATTAGAACCAAATTTCACTGTTTTGAACCGAATTTCAGACCTGCAAATTTCAATTTTAGACCCGTAAAACTTAATTTTACACTAATAAACCTAAATTTTTTAAACCTTATTCATCTTGGACTTGTAACCCTCAATCATTTTGACTTGTAATCGTTATTTTAACCTTGCAAACCTGAATCTTACACTTGTAAATCTTGAAAACCTTAATTTTGAATTTGTGAGCCTTATTTTTAAACTTGAATGCCAATTTTAGACATTAAACCGAATTTTATGCCTGTAAATTTTAATTTTATATTTGTAAACTTCAATTTTATACTAGTATACCTCAATTTTAAACTTGTAAGCCTCAATTTCAAACTTGTGAACCTAAATTTTAGACTTAAAAACCATTATTTTAGACTTGTAAACCTCCATTTTAGACTTTTCAATCAATTTTTAGAATTGCAAACCTCATTTTTAGATTTGAAAACCTCCATTTTAGACTTTTCAACCTCCATTTTAGACTTTTCAACCAATTTTTAGAATTGCAAACCTCAATTTTAGACTTGTAAACCCCAATTTTAGACTTGTAAACCTCAATTTTAGATTTAAAACTTCAATTTTAGACTTGTAGACCTCAATTTTAAACTTGTAAATCTTAAGTTTAAACTTTTGAACGTTAATTTTTGACTTTTCAATCAAATTAGAGACTTGTAAATCACAATTTTAATCTTTCAAATCTAATTTTTGACTTTTGAACTAAATGTTTGACTTTTAAATCAAATTTCAAATTTTATTCAGAATTTGAAACTAAACTTTAAATTTTTAGAACGGATTTGAGACTTTTTAACTTGGACGTAAACTTGTAAACCTCACCGAAGGCTTGCAAACCTCATCTTGGACTTGTAAACCTCATCTTGGACTTGTAAACCTCTTTTTAGACTTGTAAACCTCTTTTTAGACTTGTAAACCTCTTTTTAGACTTGCAAACCTCATGTTAAACTTGGAAGCTAAATTCTAGATTTTGAAACGTAATTTTACACTTTGAAACTAAATTCTAAAATTTAAAACTGAATTCAAGACTTTCAATTTGGTTTTCAAATGCAAAATAGTCTAAAATTTCAAAAGTATATTTAGTGACTTCAAAAATATTCTGAAAATTTCGCAAAAAATGACAAACTCAGTAAGTAGTATCAAAAACTGGGAAAGTTACTGTATCTAAAATTAATTGTGGACTTTGACAATATCTAGCATATTTATTTACCGAAAGCAGATTAAAGTCGTTGAAAATAATTTCCTAGAAAATATAAAATCTTTATTATTATAAAAAAAAATCTAAATCTGCAAATACAAACTATACCTTCAAAAAATCTCGTAGTTAAAACTTTCTCATATTCATTTGTCTTATCACAAACTTGTCTATTAATTTAATTAAATAAGTAAAACCAATAGTGTAGTTGGTTCCCTGTCTAATTCAATTCTATTTATAAACATAATCATATACGAGTATGTTTTACGATATATAGTAATCAAAATGAGTGATTTAACTGTTTTTAATTACCATATGCTATAAGTAATTACAATTTGATATTACATGTTTATGACATTGATACAATCGACTGAAATAATAAATTAATAAAATTTTGTAATAAATTTATCAGAGAAATTATATCCATTGGTGTAATAGTATCATTATTTATTAACATTTGTAATAAAATTATAAAAAAAATAATATCCATTGGTGTGTAATAGTATCATTATTTATTATTTTTAATAATATTTTTACATATCGCCAATATATACATATAGGTTTATACAAATTTGAAAGTTTAGTCTAAGTTTATTAAATAGATACTTAGGTATATAAAATTGGTTTTGTAACAGATATTTTTGTTAGATATCTTGCGATAATATATATATATATATATATATATATATATACATATATATTTCAAACAAAAACTATCAATCTTTTATATATAAAGAGAATATCTTGAACAAGTTGACATAATGTTCAAGAGTTGACAGGAATTGATGATGGTTTTGTGAAAGAAAAATATTAAAAAATACTTGAAAGTATTATTTTATAATTCTATATATATATATATATATATATATATATATTATATATATATATTATCACAAGATATTTCCACAATTTTTCAAACAGCAATTTACAAGCAACAAAATATTCAACAAGAACATATTTTCCATAAATCCTTACAACTAATAATAATAATTTTCATATTTTGTTTAATAACAATTATTAATTATTTAAATAATTTGAATTATTCGTATAAAATATTCGATTGGTCATTGAATAGTTTTTCTTAATTAGAATTAATTTAAAAAATAATTGGAAAGGTATTATTTTACACTATATACATCACTATGCTAGTGATCACATTTAGTTTTAGTTTCACTATTTTTTAATAAATTATTTTGTTTATATTTCTCATTTGCTAGGAGTTTGAAGTTTTGAAAATTTGATATTTAACGATACTGGTGAAAAATGTGTTCAAAATTTTGACAAAGATTCGAGTTTTTCGATAAGTTTTGAATTTTTCCAACAAGCTTCGAATGTTCCGTCAAGGATTCGAATTTTTTGACAAGGATTCGAATTTGTCGACAAAAGTTTGAGTATTTTAACAAAGATTTGAATATTTCGACGAAGATTCAAATTTTTTAAAGATGATTCGAATTTTTCGACAAAGATTCGAATAGTTTGACATATTTTCGAATCATTTCACAGAAATTTGGATTGTTTGACAAAAATTTGAATATTTTGACAATTATTCGAATATTTCGACAAAATTATAAATATTTTGACGAAGATTCAAGTTTCAAATTTTCTGACAAAGATTAAAATTTTTCGACAAAGATTCAAATTTTTTCGACAAGGGTTCGAATTTTTCGACACAAAATTAGAATTTCCTGATAAAAATTTGAAATTGTCGACGAATTTTTTTTACAAAGAATCGATTTTTTTGACATAGATTCTAGTTTTTCGACAAACTGTCGAATTTTTAGACAAACATTCGAATTTTTCGACAGAGATTCAAATTTTTTCGACGGACACTAGAATTTTTCGACTAAGATTCGAATTTATCGACAAAGATGAGAATAATTTGACAAAAATTTGTAATTTTCGACAAAGATTTGAATTTTTCGACAAAGATTTGAATTTTTTGACAATCATTCGAATTTTTCGACAAAGATTCAATTTTGTCGACAAAGAATAAATTTTTTAGACTCAGATTCGAATTTTTCGACGAAGATTCCAAATTTATCGACAAACATTCAAATAATCCGACAAATATCCAAATATCAATTTTGCTATTCGTCGACAATCAGAATTATTCAACGGAAACCCATTTCTTCGACAAAAATATAAATATTTTAACAAAAATATAAATATTTTAACAAAAATATAAATATTTCAACAAAAATATATTTTTTTACGAAATACAATATTTTCAAAGGAATATAAATTGTTTAGCTAAAATATACATTTATTCAACTGAAATATAAATTTTCAACAAAAAAATACATTTTTCAACAAAAAATACATTTTTCAACAAAATAAATTTTTTTTAACAAAAATATATTTTTAACAAAATATAAATTTCTCAACAAAATACAAACTTTTCGATCAATATCTGGGAATTTTCAATGAACATCTGAAAATTTCAAATCAATCAATTCGCCAAAATAAATCCATTTTTTTTACAAAATCTGAAAATTTTTGTCGAAAAATGACTTTTTTTCAATTTGTGTTGATATTTTGAAACAAAATTCTATTTACATAAAACATTCGAATATTAATCGAATGTACACAAACGCTGTTCCTGAACACATTATATTTTGTTTATTCTTAATTTAATATAAATTTGTACACTAGTGTACAATGGTCGAATAAACTAGTATTTTATAAAATTTGAAAAAAATAATAAAATACAAAATTAATAAAGATTTTGTAAATGAAATGACTTGTATAACTTTTTCTGAATCAAAGTTAGTAAATTAATTAATGAAAACGTTTCGAAAAAAGATCGTGTGCAACGTAACCGATTTTTTTAGTAGAATATTCAGTATAAAATTTTTAAATAAAATTTAGAAACGTTATCTTATTTTTTAATTTATAAGCTTATCATTTTCAGTTTATAATTACTCTTTCAAAATAAAAGAAACACGAATATCAAAAAAAAAAGAAAAAAATCTGAATGATACACTCTCGAAACACATATTAAAACAAAAAAACTGAATGGTCCCGACAAATAAATTAGTGTAAATCCTGGCAAAATAAAGTACATTATATAACATCACAAGATGTCATTATAACTAAAAATTATATATATATATATATATATATATATATATATATATATATATATTAACAAAGTCTAATAATCGGGCATAACATCAATAAAAAACATGAATTTCTTTCAAAAATTTATTTTAAATCCATACGTTTCGGCTATAATCCTAGCCTTCATTCAGTGGAAACTAAAAATAAAATTAAAAACTAAAGCAATTGAATTGGAGTGAAAAGAAAAAAATAAAATAGTAATTAGTACTTACAATTAGTTGATCTTAGTGTTAGATTGGAAAATTTAATATATATATATATATATATATATATATATATATATAAGTAACGATGATGACATAGATTACGATCAAAACGTACAATGAACATTTTTCACAGATTTCACTCACTTCTGTTGGTTTATATATTTAAACAAATAGTTATTATTTATGTTACGAGGTTTAAATTTATATATAATTTATTATTACTATTTCTATTTTTACTTTAAATTCATCACGTAATTTTTCCTCCATATTTGCAATATACTCTTCCTAGAACATCTTGTTCTGGAATTTTTACATCTAAGGGCTGAATTTGGTCTATGGACATTCTGTCTCGAACCTGAAAATAAAAAACATAAAATTTATCATTAAATAAATTATACAAATATATATATATATATATATATATATATATATATATTACTATATTTCATAAATAAATAAAAAATAACATTTTATTTTTTTATTCAGTTTTTTTAGTCTTACTCAATTAAAGATACTAACAAAATAACCTTGTAAAAATCTTGATAACGTAAAAATAAAAATTATTTTATAACTAGAAAAAATTTGGTTAAATTTTTATTGTATATAATAAATAATATATAACCAAAATTTTATAATTATTTTAACGATATTTTAGATTTTTTCCAGTGAAAAGCTGGTAGACTAAAATGTATAAATATAAGGTTGTCAAATATCTTCCTTCCGCCTTTTTGTATTATAAACCAAGAGCAAAAAAGCGGAAGGGAGATATTTGACAACCTATGATGAACCCTATAATGAACTTATATTCGTAGTTGATTAGGATTTTAGTTTGGGTTTTTTTAAACCAACTTATATATTTAATTTATATATATATATATATATATATATATATATATCAAATTTAATTGAAATATAAGTGGTTTAGTCCAACAATACCTAAAATGTTATATATGAGGACCTTTAAGTTTATAATATCATTTTACACTTTCAATGAATACAATTGCTTCAAGGCTTATATGTTCGAACCCTTTCGCTTAGACCCTTTTTATAATTCAAATATTGAGATATTTCCCGAATATAATATATACACATATAAATATACATTCATATATATATATATATACATATATATATATATATATATATATATATATATATATTAGTCCTAACTTTTGAAATATTCATTAGCAAGTGAAATAATTTACAAGAAATTTTATTAATTCATCAGAAACTTTAATAAATAACTAGCATATATATATATATATATATATATATATATATATATATAACCCTAATAAGAGATTGGTTTAAAAAAAACTAAATAGTTCTTCTCATTTTTCATACAATTTGAAACAGTTTCAATATTTACTTTATAATGTATTATAAAAATGCATATTTAATTAATTATGAGATTTTATTAAATTATTCTACGGGTTAAAATAACAAATGGAAATGTGAAAAATTAACAAATAGAACAAATTTATAATGGATGTGCACATAAAAATCTCATGTAATTAAATATTTGCACAATCCGCATTCGCAAATGCGAATAATTCATTTTCAAGTGTTCGCTGTAATGTACTTACTGCACTTGAATATATATATATATATATATATATATATTTATATATATATATATGTGTGTGTGTTTGTGTGTTTGTGTGTTTGTGTGATACGGTTTTCCGTAACAAATTAAAGCTTTTCATTACGAATGCACAATGGAAGCACTTAGCAATGAAATATAACGGCTTTGTTTCCCAAACACACGATGTGATTCTTTTAATTTAATACGAGAGCCCGGAAAATATTTTATAAGTATCACATAATTAAATTTAATTCTGAACTAGTGGTGTATGGCATCGTGCCTTAAGGCAAATTGCCGGAACTTCCCGTACCGTAATGAAATATTCGAGAAATTCTAAACGTTTTCAAATATACTATTACAAATACTCTGTAACTCTCATTATTTTTGCTATCTTATTGTGAGCAAATGTAAATTATAAATCATTAATCAATTTATCTCCAGAACATTAACAATCGTCATTTCATTTCGAATTCAATTTAAAAAAAATAGTTGCCTTAATTTACACAAAATTGAAGAAGTGCTCCCGTATAGTCACAGTCTAAACGCATTTGCAAATAATTCTGTGCGACATTTTCACTTATACTGTACTTAGCTTGGCTGCATTTTCACATTTTTCAATAGTTTTCACAAAATTGGAAAAGTGCTCTAGTACACAAACAATCTAAACGCACTTGGGTAAACATTTGTACCAGAGTGGCGCTTAGACTGTGCTTTAGGCTGGGAATTTTTTTAAATTTTTAATTGTTTGTTTAAATTTACAATTCTTTTGTTAAAACAAGCAGAAAGTTTTTTAGGTCAATCAAATCGGACGCTTAATTCACTCAAAAACTGTCATTTTTTGTACATTTAGCTCTGTATCTTCGAAATGGCGGGACCTGCCTTTGACAAAAACTAATCACCTCTTCTCCCAATCATTGAATGTTTTTTAGATCATTCAAATGCGATACTCCGTTCTCTCATAAACTCGAGTTGTATTTTCTGCACTCTTTGCTCCGTATCTCCGTAACGGCTGGACCTGCCTTTGCCAAAAACTAATCAGCACATCTCTCTATCAACAGGGATCGAATGTTTTCTTAAACCATTCAAATCGGTTGATCCGTACTTTTTGAGGTATGCCTCTCTAAAAATGTTCAGAAACCTTCAAAACATCGAGAAATGCAATAATTTCCATATATATAAAATTTTCGTGCCACAGTTTTTGTTCCCATACTATTCCGAAACGGCTTGACCGATTTTCATAAAATTTTGTGTGCATATTGGCTAGGTCTGAGAATCGGACGTGTATTTTTAATACTCCTAAGGGTTGTTCACCCCTAATTTTATAATTTTTTTAATTTAATTAAACAAACTTTTTTGTTTTTAGTTTTTTATAATGTGATATTAAAAATACATATAACCTAAAAATTTTTAATTTTTTATCACCAACCCCTATTTTTTATAGTCATTTTAGCAATCCGATCATTTTTTATCAGGCGTTCAGTCATTGAATATTTTTGACATAATTTTAGTTCAAATTTTTGAGCTTAAAAAACTTAAATTTTTCTTTAAAATACAAGTCATCATCATTAAGGGTTGTCCGATTCTAATACATTTTATTTAACTTTGCGGTCAACTTTTTTAATTTATTTTTTTAATGCGTAATTGACAAAATATATACAACTTTTTTACTGCAAAATACTATTTATTTGTATCAAGTTAAAATTAATGTATTATATTATATTGCTTATTTATATCTAATATTTGATTCATTGACATTTTATTTGCTTTTTGGTAATATAAGTGCTAATGTAACAATTTTTATCAACATATAGTAACATATATCAATTTTTAGAACAGTTTTATCGCTCAAAATATATAAATGATAAAAGAAAATATGATAAAAGATGCATAAACTTTTCTAAATAATTCTATATTCTATCATTTTTTGTAAAATTTATTTCACTTCAAAATATTGTAAAAAATGTTCATTCATTTAATGGTTCAGTATGTTCATTAAGGCCAAATACTTTATCGTTATACCAAGTAAATCAACTAATTTTAATTTTAACAAACGTCAAGAAAACTACTCATTTTCTCAAACTTTGATGAATTTTTAAAATTAAACTACTTGTCGTAAGGCTCTCGTAATATTTCAGTAAGTTCTATAAGACCACGATATACATCTATAAAAATATATAAAATACATATCAAGTTTTCTCATTATTGATTATAAATAATATAATTACCAGCTCTCTGTCTATAAACAAATCCTGGGTGTAGAAAGAAAAACGTTTTTTGGTATAAAAACACAAAAAAACGATACGAAAAATTATACAATATAACCTTTGCTCTAATTGTCGCCTAAAAGAGAATAATACAGAACAGCATTAAAAACAGAAGGTGAATTTATATATATATATATATATATATATATATATATACCCTTTTTTATGCCATTGTTTTTCCAAAATATCAAAATAGATTTTACTACACATGTGATAAAATCGTCTATATAAAAAGATTGATATTTATCTACGAATGTTGTTTTTCACATTCGGAAAAACTTTTGCAGATGTTATAAAGTTGTAGAAAATTCATACTTTTTTTCTCACAATTTTGTCATAGAAAACATACAAACATACATACGTATGTTACATGGGGTTTAGACTTATGGCTATGACATAATTTACTCAAATGTAAAAAAACATGTGTATATATTTATAAAAAGTTCCAAAACTAATTTTAGTTATCGTTTTTTGTTTATTCTCATCTAAATATACTTTAAATGATTAGTATTTTATAAAATAAAATAATCATCTAATTAACTGATTATTAATTTAATTAATTAACTAATTATTTACTTAAATAATTTATTCTTAAATTCCTAAAATAACTTATCATTTAATTTTTAATATTGTAGAATTCTTCATTGTTCTAAACTACATTTTTCCAATTAGTTGCTTCGAAATGTAACTAGTAACTTAATTTACTAAAAAAGTTTGCTAATTAATTGATTATTGAATTACTAACTCTATATTTATTTAATTGATGCAAAATTAATTGATGATTTCATTCATAAAACTAATTGATGATTTATATTTGGAAAGTAATTGATGATTTTTATTAACCATCTGATTATTTAATTCGTCTGTTAATTAATAATTTAAATAGCTAGTTCATTAATGATTTAATTATCCAGTAAATTTATTACTTAATTATTAATTCAATTGATGATTTACTTCGCAGGTTAGTTGATGACTTAATTTATGAGTTAATTCATTATTGAATTATCCAACTAATTATTTATTTAATTAGTCAGATATCTAATAATTTATTGATGATTTACTTAGCCAGTTAATTTATTACTTAATTAGCAATTTAGTTGATTATTTAATTAGTTATTTAATTAGTTATTTAATTGATGATTTAATTAGAGAGGTAATTGATTATTTAACTAGTCAGTTAATTAATAAGTTAGTTATTTAGTTCATTGATGTTTTAATTAACCAGTAATTTAATACTTAATTAGCATTTTAATTAATCATTCAATTTATTACTTAATTAGCATTTTAATTAATCATTCAATTAACGAGTTAATTGATGAGTTATTTTATTATTGAATTACCCAACCAAATTAATCATTTAATTAGCCAATTAGTTAAAAAAACATTTGCTCATTCGGTAATTAGTCAGTTGATTTATTGCTTAATTAGTAATTTAATTGCTGATTTAGTTAGGGAGTTAATTAATGATTTAATTAGTGAGTTAATAATTAATTTCATAACCTAGTTTATTCATGATTTAATTAGTCAGTAGATTCATCACTTAATTAGCAATTCAATTAATGGTTTAACTCACGCGTTTATTGATGATTTAATTTATGAGTTAATTTATTATTGAATTACCCAACTAATCAATTATTTAATTAGCCAAAATTTTATTTGCCCGTTCGGTGATGATTTAATTAGCCAGTTAATGTTTTATTAAATTAGCAATTTAATTAATGATTTGATTAGTTAGTTAATTGATGATTTGATTATTTACCAAATATTATATTAACCAAATACTAGTTCATTTAGTTAGCTAAGTTGCTAATAATTCAGTTTGCAAATTAATTAGTTGATTTAAATTGCTAATTAGTAAATAATTTGAATGACTAATTAAATATTAATTCAAATTGATTGAAACTAATTGATGATATGCTTACATAAGTAATTAATCATTTAGTTAGACAGTTAATTGATGAATTTTTTATGAATGATTTAATTTACTAGTCATTAATTAATTTGCAACTAATTGATAATTTAGCTATCCAACAACCTAATGACTTAATTAGAAAACTTACTGATGACTTAATTAGTCAACTAATTGATGATATAATTAACTTAGTGATTGATGATATTATTTACCTGCTAATTGACGACTTAATGAACCAACCAATAAATGATGTAAAAAAACAAGTAATTGATGATTTGATTAGCCAACTAATTGATGAGTTAATTAGCCATCTAGTTGATGTTTTATTTAACTAATTAATAAATCAGCTATTTACATATTAAATTTAGTAACCAGTTAAATAATTAATTCAGTAAAATTAATAATTGATTATATAACTGGTATATTAAAAATGCAAAAATAAACTAGAAAAAATTTATTCCACAAGTAAAAAAAACAGAATTTTAACGATCGTCTCTTCGACTCCCTGTCTATTTCGTAAAGTTAGCAAATTATTTCCAGCAAAGACGCAAAACTTCGTATTAGTTTCGATTGGAAAAACGAAAAACAACTTTTCATTGCAGTTCAATTGCTTTTCAAAAAATTCCTCATCGTAAAAGAAAATATAACGTGAAAAAGAGGAGCAGCAGTAGATATGATGAACTTTTTTTTCATATTTTTTTTTGCTACGGTGGAGACGCAGGTAAAACTTGTGAAGAAATTATTTTAAAAATAAAACTAACGAGAGGAGAAATATTTTATGAAAAGAATTTATTTGATTTATCTACTTACGTTTTCTACTTGTCGTAACACTCTCAACAGATTCTGTCCTGCCAATTTTTTTAGATCCATTTCTGACCATCTGCCAGTTGCCAGAAGATGTTGGAATAGAAAAGGATATCTTGAGACGTCTTCTAGACCTCTTGGCACTCTGAAATAATAAAAAATACCAAAAAATTTATTATTCAATTTAAAAATTGTCTATTATTTCTATAAACTTATTACTTCGACCTAAACTATCGGCTAATACAACACAAAGTTATATTGGATGGAGTTACAACTTTTGCCGGTGGAGCATTCACCACTTGCTACCGACTGCGGTGGAGCAAGAAAAACAAAACTCGTGAGAGCCATCTATGGTGGTTTTTGTAACGGTTATTATAATGAAAGAACAACATGGCTTGCACTTAACGAAATTACTAACAAAAGTCCATCGGAAACTACATATATAACAGTATAAAGTAGTAGAGTAAAAAGGGTTGAATTAGGTTTGTAAATTTTGTAATTATTGGTAGACAAGTTTTATTACCCAAAGAGACGTTTATTATTAGTATAAAGCAATCCCAGGTCTCCCCTAAATTGAAAACAACCCAAAAGTGCTACAAAGAACATAGAAATTGCGTCGTTAATTCATTTTGCAATTAGGTCACGTGTTATTCAAGTGCTAAACTTAAAGTTTTGTCCATGGGGCGAAAAGAGAGTAAAACACGATACGGTGGAGGAAAGGTATAAAGGACGGTGGAGTAAGGTCGGTTGCAAGCTAATTGGGGGAATTGCTTTAAACGGGGTCTTAATCGGAATGTTAGAGGTCTCTAGATGGGATCATAATTTGGAATTGTATGTACAGGTATCATAGATAATTGTAAAGGATATAATGAATAAACTAGTGGTGTATGGCATCGTGCCTTAAAATAATTTGCTGGAACTTCCCGTACCGTAATGAAATATTCGAGACATTTTAAACGTTTTCAAATATATTATTACAAATACTGTAACTTTAATTATTTTTTCTTTAATTATTTATCTTGTTATATCTGAGAAAATCAAATGTAAATCATAAATCATAAATCAATTTATCTCCAGAACATTAATAATCGTCATTTCATTTCGAATTCAATTTAAAAAAAAAATATTTGTCTAATTTACACAAAATTGAAAAAGTGCTCCCGTTAGTCGCAGTCTAAACGCATTTGCAAATAGTTCTATGCGACATTTTTACTTAGACTGTGCTTAGCTTGTCGGCATTTTCACATTTTTCAATAGTTTTCACAAAATTGGAAAAGTTCTCCAGTACATATACAGTCTAAAAGCACTGGGATAAAGATTTGTACCAGAGTGGCGCTTAGACTGTGCTTAGCGTGGGTAATTTTTTGAATTTTTAATCCAATATTACAAAAATCTTTAATGTAAAATATAAAAAGATGTAAAATTTTTTTAGCACTTGTTTTGTCAATACAAGCAGAAAGTTTTTTAGATCATTCAAATCGGACGATTAGTTCACTCAAAAACTGCCATTTTTTGCACACTTAGCTCTGTATCTCCGAAACCGCTTGACCTGCCTTTGCCAAAAAATAATCACCACTTCTCCCATTACGAATTGAATGTTTTTTGGATCATTCAAATCCGATGCTTCGATCTCTCAAAAACTTGATTTTTATTTTCTGCACTTTTTGCTCCGCATCTCCGGAATGACTGGACCTGCCTTTGCCAAAATCTAATCAGCACATCTCCCTATCAATAGGAATCGAATGTTTTTTAAACCATTCAAATCGGTTGATCCGTACGCCCAAAAACGTGGACAAAAAATGTGATCATACAAAACACACACACACATCAATTTTTTCTGAGGTATGCTAGTAAAATGTTCAGAAACCTTCAAAACGTCGAGAAATGCAAAAATTTTCAGTTTTGATTTTCAGCCCATTACTATAACTACCCTACGGGAAGTAAAAAATGTCAAAAAGAAATCAATTTAAATTCGTACAATTAGATTAAATGTTAGGTTTAAAAATACAAAAAATCACCCAGCCTAAGCGCCACTCTGGTACAAATGTTTACCCAAGTGCGTTTAGATTGTTTACGTACTGAAGCACTTTTCCGAATTAAAATAAAACTATTGAAAAATGTGAAAATGCCGCCAAGCTGAGCACAGTATAAGTGAAAATGTCGCACAGAATTATTTGCAAATACCTTTAGACTGTAACTATACCGGAGCACTTTTTCAATTTTGTGTAAATTTTGCAACTATTTTTTTTTTTTAAATTGAACTCGAAATGAAATGACGATTGTTGTTAATGATCTGGAGATAAATTGATTTATTTATGATTTACATTTTATTTGCTCAGCTATAACAAGATAGCAAAAATAATTCAAGTTACAGTATTTGTAATAATATATTTGAAAACGTTTAAAATTTCTCCAATATCTCATTATGGTACGGGAAGTTTCAGCAATTTGCCTTAAGACACGATGCCGTACACCACTAGTTTAAATATCTCTTATTACATAATTGTATGTATTATCCCTGTATACTAGTATTTATTACATAATTCAATCCCCGTATTATATATTCAGCGTATGGCTTCCAACTTTGAAGAATCAACCCCTTTGATAAAGCTTCGTCTGTAAAAGGATTCGGAAGCAAGAAAGTTTAACTTCGTCGTGCGTTCGTCCGATCGGACGACCATAGAAATTCCAAAACGGATTAATTTTATGAGGCCATTTCAATGTTAGAATACGACGGTGGAGGAGTGAAAAGTGTAGGTGGAGATGGGTTGTTGTGGGAGGAATTTAGAAGGAAATTTTGTAGGTGAAGGTGGAGAGAAAGTTGGGCGGTGGAGATGTGTATGAGAAAATGAGAGATGTAGAAGATTTTGGAGATTTTTTAGAACGGTGGAGAAATCGTTTGGGATGTGTAGAGATCTTCAAGGAGGTTAAAAGATTTTCAGGAAAGTATGAAAATCCTGAGGGAGGTAAAGCGATCTTCAAGGAGTTAAAGAGATTTTCAGGGGGGTGAAAAGATCCTTTGGGAGGCGAAGAGATCTTCAGGGAAGTGAAGAAATATTCAGGGAGGTTTAGAAACTGTCAGAAAGGTATAGAGATTCTCAGGGAGGTATAGAAATTCTTTTGGAGGTATAGAAATTCTTTTGGAGGTATAGAGATTCTTTTGGAGGTATAGATTTTCTTGGAGGTATAAAGATTTTCTTGGGGGTATAGAGATTTTCTTGGAGGTATAGAGATTTTCTTGGAGGTATAGAGATTTTCTTGGAGGTATAAAGATTTTCTTGGAGGTATAGAGATTTTCTTGGAGGTATAGAGATTCTCTTGGAGGTATAGAGATTGTCAGGAAAGTAAAGATATTTTCATAGAGGCAAAAATATCTTTTGAAAGGTTTAGAGATCCTCTGGGAGGTTTAGAGATCCTCTGGAAGGTTTAGAGATCCTCTGGGAGGTTTAGAGATCCTCTGGAAGGTTTATAGATCCTCTGGGAGGTTTAGAGATTCTCTGGGAGGTTTAGAGATTCTCTGGGAGGTTTAGAGATTCTCTGGGAGGTTAAGAGATCTTCTGGGAGGTCTAGAGATCTTCTGGGAGGTCTAGAGATCCTCTTGGAGGCAAAGAGATCCTCAGGGAGGTAAAGATCTAACAAAAAGCTGAGTGATCTAAGAAATCTATAGAAGTGTTAATTAATCTATCAAGACTTTCAGAGCTCTACAAAAACGTGGAAAGATCTTCCAAGACGTTGAAAGATCTACTAAGATGCTAAGAGATCTGCCAAGACTTTCAGAGTTCTACAAAGACATAAAAAGATCTACCAAAATATTAAAAGATCTACCAAGACGTTGAGAAATATACCAAGAAGTTGAGATGAGATGAGAGATGAGAGATGATCTACCAGTGCAAAGTGGAAAGATCTAAAGAAAAAAAAATTAGAAAGTTGAAGAAGGACTAGAAAGTAGAACAAAAAATCAACCAGAGTGTAGTCAACTCCACTAGAAAAAGAACCATTTAAGTATCTTGTAATTAAGATTATAAAAATTTTAATGACAAATCTACAAGTAAGTGGAGAGATCTAGCAAAATGTAGAGAGATCTACAAGCATCCAGAAAAATCCATCATTATGTGAAAGGATATACCACTAAAATAAACTACAATAAAAAGAAGAGATCGACATCAAAGTATGAATAGCGACTAGAAAGCCAATAAATCTGAAAGTAAAAATACCGACGAAGATGTAAAGACATCTAAATGTAGAAAAAAGAAACTATAAGACGTAAAGTGATAGATTCAAAAACAAATATAAAAAAATCTACGAGAATGTGGAGAGATCTGCAGAGAAGTAAAAATTTGTACCAGGAGGTGGAGTAATTTACCAGGAGCTAAAGAGACATCAAAAAGTAAATTAAAGTACGAGTAAAATGCAAAAAATTGAGCGATTGAAATTGGGAGGTCGTTAAAAATTTGATAAATCTTGGATAAAATAAATTTGATAGATTTTGAATAAAATGAATGTAAAACTATCTACGATAAAATTAAGAAGGAAGGAGTGGTAGACTGAATGATGTATGAAGAATTTATCGATAGCAACTTGCCTATAGGCCACACCGTGTGGAATTTGAAGTTGCGATATATGGAAAAAAAACTAAGAATTTTGAAACCTTTCTAGCGATGCATAATACTTTATATGTTTTCTTTATAGAAATATCTAAACGGTAAGATGACTAGATAACTAGGACCACTAGATAGATCACCAGTTATATATATATATATATATATATATATATATATATATCCACGATATATTCAATCCTTCGACTAATACAAAGCAAAACTTTGCACTCCACCGTCCTCCACCGTCGTCGTCTATCTCATATCTCGAAACGTATGAATTGAAATTACGTGTTAGAACCAAGTTACAAGAACAAGAACAAGGACAAGATATGCTCTTATCTCTACTCCATATTATTATCTTCGAATGTGATGTGATATATGATATTTCGATAATATGAGGAAATTCATCGGTGCAAAACACATCACCATCGCAAATACTATCACCTAGACATAGATAAAAGATAATAGATTTCGGACGATATTTTAGATAATGAATACTGAAATATATTATCTAGAGGTACATGGGTCTGTTAAAAATATTCTAACTTTTTTTTTTGAATTTTTGCCACTTTATTGTGCTATGTTAAAATTACTTCTTCTCATCATGAATTGACATTATACATTGAATTACTTGTTTCTTTTTGAATTGGCTAAAACATGAATTCCTAAACTGTCAATAAATATTATCATCCTGTAGGATAAGTTATTGTAATCGTCCAAAAATCGATAAAAAATATATTTGCATTTCTTCACGTTTCAAAAGTTTCTGAACATTTTGGCATACTTCAGAAAAAGATGGATGTGTGTGTGCGTTTTCGGGCGCACGGACCAACCGATTTACATGATTTAAAAAACATTCAATTCCTATTGATAGGGAGATTTGCTGATTAGTTTTTGGCAAAGGCAGGTCCAGCCGTTTTAGAGATACGGAGCAAAGAGTGCAAAAAATACAAATCGAGTTTTTGAGAGAACGGAGTATCAGATTTGAATGATCTAAAAAACATTCAATTTGTAATGATTGGGAGAAGTGGTTATTAGTTTTTGGCAATGGTATGCCTAGCAGTTTCGGTGATACAGAGCTAAATGTGCAAAAAATACCAGTTTTTGAGAGAACTAAGCATCCGATTTGAATGATTCAAAAAGCTTTTTGCCTGTATTGACGAAACAATTGCTATTGGAAAAAAATCTAAAATTAAAACAAAAATCGAGTTTTTTTGTATATCGAAATTCTAAATTTAATTTTAATTCTAGCTAAATTCATAAAGCTCACAGATATACTTCAAAAAATAATTCTAACTCTGCAATTTAGTTTATGCAAATCTTATAAATATTATACAATGTCCCTCATTTCAAATCCGAATGATTAAGTATTTCATTTACATTTTAATAATAATAATATAAACATCATTGTCAGATTCATAAGCTCTTATATTTCGTCTACAAAATATGAATAATGAAAGCTACAGTATATACTATAATCTATTTAAAAAAACTTAATATTCCTCGATCATTTCGTTATGGTACGGGAAGTTCGAGCAATTTGCCTTAAGGCGCGATGCCATACACCACTAGTTTTTGTGATTGATTAATGTAATGTTTTGATCACAAGGTTTGATTTATAATATCTCCATTGTAAATCAAATGCAAATTAGAAACATTGACAACTGTCTTCATATAGTTTCATTTTTATAAAATGTATCTGTCAAAATTAATTGAAATTTCTAAAATTTTAATACTTGTAGTATGAACTAAAGTTTCTAATATAGCCTATAACCTAAGTTGAATATAAATGCAAAATATGATCAAATAAAATTCAAAATCGGTTCAGTAGTTTAGGAGTTTATTCCGGTCGAACATCGTGACTCATCTTTATTTTACTCTCTAATAATCCTTATGTCAAAATGAACGATTTGTTTAAATAAATTTATCACACTAAAATTTCCAAACCAGGAATATTTTTGTATATATATATATATATATATATATATATATATATATATCGGAATGCAATTATCCAATTTTTCAATTTTGTAGAAAATTACCTCCTGCAAATTCAATAGAGCGGCGTGAAATACGTGTCTTAGATTTTAGATTCTGCAAATACTGTATTGCACTATATACAATACTCGACAAACATAATAAACACATGTATATATATATATATATATATATATATATATATCGTACACAGGTACGTGCTCTATGCAATATTAAATCACTGTTTTATATCGCCTACGTGCAAGTCGGGAACATATGCTACTAAAATTATATATATATATATATATATATATATATATATATATATATATATATATATATAAACTCTAGTTAATGGATTCTTAGTTTTAGTACCAGTCAGTAATAAATAACAAACTTATTTCACGGAAATGAAATATCGAAAACAATACATCATCTAATGAAATTTATATCAAGATGTATTTTAACTTCTACCAATGGCTTTCATCTGATGTTTGTCCTGAATGTAGTGCTAAACTACTGAACCGATTTTAAATTTTATTGGCTCATTGTGTGCTTATACATCCAACTTAGGTTATAGGCTCTATTAAAAATCTTAGTTCATATTCTAAATAATAAAATTTTAATATGATCAATTATTTTAAGACGAATTTTAAGAGTATTCTGTACAATGACAGTTGTCTATGTTTCTCGAATACAGATAAATTGATTTATGATTTATTATGTTTATATATATATATATATATATATATATATACATATATATATGTGTGTGTGTAAGTTTGTCTCAGGATGTTTGTCCGTAATAGACTCCTAAATTACTGAACCGATTTTAATTTTTTTTGCCTCATCGTGTGTATTTATATCCAACTTAAGTTATAGAAAATATTAAAAATCTCAGTTCATATCCAAGATATGAAATTTATATAAAATTCCATTAATTTTAACAGGTAAGAATTTAATAAATACAAAACACTGAACTAACAATTGTCAATATTGCTGAAAACATCCATATAAATAAAATATAAATCTTTCTAATAAAATAAATGAAATTTTTGCTCAACTAAATCAAAAAGATTTAAAAAATGAAATATAATCTATATTTAGATAGAATTTTGTCTTAATTTTTTGTGATATAATTTTGTATGTATGTAAAGCATCACTATTTATGAAATAGCATCGTTTATTAATGAAATGTTTAAATAAATTTGATTTATAATGTTAATATAAAACTACCATATAAATATAAATATCTATTTTACATTTGTTAATTAATAAACAAGATCTTAAAAATATTATAAAAAACAATATATAGTCGAAATGTTACATTATACATAAATCGGGCAAAATTTTACAGTTAAAAAAATTAAAATTTTTGCTAATTTAAAAAAAAACAAACATATTCTAATCTACGACGTTAATTCATAATGAGACGTAGTGGAGTGTACGGCACCGTGCCTTAAGGCAAATTGCTGGAACTTCCCGTACCATAATTACACATCCGAAGAACATTAAATATTTTCAAATAGTTTGTTATAAATACTGTAACATTTGTCTAATATTTATTTATAAGAATTATATAAACTGCATTACAAGGTTAAAGTTATTTATTTAAAGTATTAAGTGAGGCTCAAAACTTTAGCCAGAATTAAAAAATTAGTTTTTTGTTAATTTAAAAAGAAACAAATATATTCTAATTTATGACGTTAATTCATAATGAGAAAAATCATGTAGAGTTCATTATATTTATTTATTTATCATTATAAATGGTTATATAAGATTTTTTGCAAATTCGTATTTTGTATTAATTTTCCTCAAAATATATTACAGTGTGGTTGAAAATATTTATTATATTTTAAACAATTTTGTGAGCACAGTTTTAAATTATCTAGCTTTCATCTATATATTTAATATATACATATTTTCTGTACGAGTGTATGTTTCAATACTATTCCTTATCGGTTATTCGGATTTTGATAATTCTTTTTAGAGTTTGTCAAAGAGAATTTTTAAGATAAACTAATATATCGTGCGAGATTATGAAAATCATATTACTAAATTATTGAAGAAATTATGTCGTGTTGTAAAATCAAGTGTGATATTATTTTTTTACCGCAGATACTATATTATTTTTATCTGAATTGCTTATACTGCTTATGTTAGGACCATAAATAAATTATAAATACAGGACATCAAATAGGATATTAAAAAGTATAGAATAGGATATTAAAAAATTTGGAACTTTTGAATTGTAGACGTGGGTACATAACAATATCTGTCGGGTCATCTAGTAAATATATATATATATATATATATATCCATAAATTTAGCCGAAATATATTTTCGTGAATAACATATATATTTGGAAATATTTTTGTCACGTTTCTCTGCACATCATAAAGATTTACGCCATCGTGCAATCAAACTATTTGTCATACGAAAATTTATAGATGTATATATATATATATATATATATATATATATATGTGTGTGTGTGTGTGTGTATGTGTATGTATTCAAATGTCCATATATCAAATAAACGGAGGTATGATCTATCACTAATATTATTCACACTCAAATATCTCATGTCAAAAGAGGGTCTGATACGTGTCCTGATAAAATACTTATTTTATTCTGACTTTGATAAAATCTGTATATGATATATATATATATATATATATATATATATATATATATATATATATATATATTTGTATATATTTCAAACAAAAACTATCAATCTTTTATATATAAAGAGAATATCTTGAACAAGTTGACATAATGTATGTATGTATATGATATATATATATATATATATATATATGTATATATATGTATAATTTATAAAATATATACTTACAAATTAACTCCATCATATCCTGCTCCTATTCCCACATGATCGATTCCTGCGACTTCTCTGATATGCTCGATGTGTGCTGAAATTAAAAAAAAAATACATATAAGTCTTATTTTTGTTTAAATCTTATTTTACTATTCATTTATGATAATATAAATAGTCGGCTTCTAATTCAATTTTTTTTAAGTAAAACTTCTTTAAGGGTGTAAATTTGTGAAAATGCAAAGGAAGAGCGTTACGCTCGGGTCGCTCTCGATGATATCATTTCTATACGGGTCAATTGTGATTGGTCGTCGTGTCGCGTGAGTATGATTGCTTTGATTATATGCGTATATATGGCGTAAATGTATGCGAGAACCATATTGTTCGGAAAAACATTAGATTTTAAGGTTATGTCCTAGTAGGAATCTTGATTTGATGATAAATGTCCTGATATAAAAAATCTTTCTAGATCTGAAGAATATTTTATCCCGTCTTCAGTAAATAATTGTATTGAAAATAATAAAACAAATGAAAAGCCGTGCCGTGTATTATTCGTGGTCACTGTATATGTTTGCAAATTAATTTTATAAGTAAAACATCTAATTTTTGTTGCTTAACATTAAAAAAATACATTCACCAAGTTGATATTAATGATAAAATTGGTATTTTTTTTAACCAAGACATACCAAAATGCATTCTACCATTGCAATCTATTTTAATTTTACAAATAAATATGAAAATATACAAATGAGTACTTTAAGAATATTGGCTTTTGATAAAAATAAATATTTGCAAATAAAGAGTGCCATAAATTTAAAAAGTTGATATTTTGAGTTTCTAATATGCAACACGTTTAACCCTTTCCATCCGCAAATTGCGAGATTTGCATGTATTTTGCATACGAGTAAAAAGGATTGATAATTTTGTGTATAAATAAAACAACTTACTGCAATTAAATAATATTTATCTAAAACACCTCATTAGATTTAAATACATATAATTTTTCAAAACCATTTGACATTTGACGTATGAGCCGCCCTTTAATGTTTAATTTTAAATTACGCATCTACGAAAAATTTTGAAATGCAAATGTGAAGATTTCACGCGGTTTTTAGGTACTTTCTCACATTTTGCACAATCTCTGGATTAGTACTAATATTTCAATACTAAAAATGACCAAATCGGTTCAGCCGTTTTCGAGTTTTATCAAATTTAACATAATATCTAATAGAAACATATATATATATATATATATATATATATATATATGTTTTTATATAACTTATATATAAAATTCTTCTGTACGGGTGTATGATTCGATACTTCTTCTAAACGGTTATTCGGATCTTGATAATTCTTTTCAGAGTTTGTCAAAGAAAATTTTTAAGATTTAATGAACGATAAAACTATAGTAATATTGTAGAAAAAATGACAAAAATTACAAAAACCACTTATCATGGTTTGGCATTGAATGCATTTGAACTGTCATCTGTTAGAAATGTCAATTCACTTGAAATTCGAATTTAGCTGACATGAGCCTAGATAATATTAGGAAATAATATACAAGAAAAATGTAATGGCTGCATTATTATTGCCGAAAAGCAGCTGAGATGTGCTAGAAATTACAATAAGACATAGTCAACAGTATATGTTTGGCAGATGAAATTACATAATTCAGTTTAATAAATAACGCAACAAAACCAAAATATGCATTTACATTATTTGTTTAAACTTATGCATATCACATTTTGCTTTACTTTACTAAATTATTTAACAATACAATAAAAATATTTCTACTTATTAAAAAATGATTCAGAATTTTGTTTAACGTGTCAAAAATTCATTTGTTAGGCATCGGATATGGAATATTTAGCAAGTTGATGTTAGATTGAATAGTGCACAAATGAACTAGATTTTACAAATTAATTCACCTAAGATTTGAACATAAACAATGATGTTTATTAAATTAATAGTAAGAAAAATGTACTTTAGAAGTTACAATTGCCAAAAAGTAACTAATATGAAAATTATGGACTAAATTATTGAAGCAATTATGTTGTGTGGTAAAATCAAGTGTGATATTTTCATATAGATTGTTAGAAAAGTTATGATTTATTACACAACTGATTTATAGATAATTTAATTAGCCTTCTAATGATATATAATAATAATAATATTTTTAATTTAATTGTAACAAAATAAATGTAATTATAAACCAAAGCGTTGGAGCTATAACAATGTGGGCGCTTGATGAAGATTTTTATTGCAAAGTTTGATGAATTATTTTTATATAATTTTGTTGTAACATTTACAGGTTTTTATATACAGATTTATAGATAATTTTATTGACTTTTTAGTGACATATCCAGATATATAAAAATGCTAATAAATTTTATTACAATAATGCCAAAAGTAAAAATAAGTAATCGACCAAATTCACCAATGGCTAATAATTAGATACTAAATTTCAAACTTCGCGCATTTTTTATATTAAATTTTGTTTGAAAAGTTATTAAACCTTATATACAGATTTGAAGGCGATTTTAGTAGGTTTTTAGCAATATATAATATTATTATTATATTTTTATTTATTTATATTAAAATAAACGTGGATACGAAAACCCGCAACGGATGAAACTAATGTTATAGACTCGTCATTTTGATTTTCAAGTTCGAATAATTTTTATTATATAATTTTGTTAGAAACGTTATGAATTATTATACGCCGAATTATAGATAATTTAATTAGCTGTCTGAAAGTATATAATAATAATAATAGTTTTGAATTAAGTATAACAAAATTAATTTAATTATGAACTAAAGCGTTGGAGCTCTAACGTTTATTGTTTTTTTTACTAAAGACATTATATTATTATTTTCTGAATTTTTTATACTGCATTTATGCTAAAACCATAAATAAATCATGAAGCCTGGACATCAAATTTCTCATCTAGTAAAAATTAATATGAAATTTCTTACTATTTAACTTCTGTTTGCAATGCATTTTATACATATTTTCACCTTTTATTTCATCTTTCAAAAGATGAAAGTTGCAAGTACCTACCTACTAGCTAGTATCAATTTGAACATGAGAAGAGATAGAGTAGAGAGCGGTTCTGCAAATCATATTTTTAATATTAAACCGACTCTAATATTAAAACCTATTACTTTTTGTGAACTCTCTCTCTTTTACGTCTTTTACAACACGTTTTACGGTATTTCATCAAAAGACTTTTCATGCGCTACAAGGTAATAGACCGAGAGCCGGTGGACAAATCGTAAAGGACATGTGAAATGTCTGGGTCACCAATATAAAGATTTACTAATTTTCCATAATTGTATATCGGATTATTATAATAAGTTGCGTTAAATACCTGTTTAGATGTCATATGTCGAGGTCATCATTATATAGATTTGCTAAATTTTTATAATTTTGTATCAGAATATTTTAATATCTTGCTCTAAATATATTTTAAATGTCGTATCTCGGGGTCACCAATATATTAGGTTGTCAAATATCTACCTTCCGCTTTTTTGCTCTTGGTTTATAATACAAAAAAGGCGGAAGGGAGATATTTGACAACCTATTATAAATTTGTTACACATACAATTTTTACGTCACTTCATATTATTGTTTGTATTATGCTATTTATTTAACTAAATTTTAATCGAATTTAATTTTAGTTATTTGTGAAGTACAATTTATATTTGCGTTCAGTTTTATAATTCTATATAAATATTTTAGTTATTCCTTATTTACTTCTCCAGTTATTTTTTATTATTATTAGCTTAAATCATCATACTACGAATATCATTTTAATGTAAATTCTATCCATTGTACTCTTATTTATTTAAATTTATATTTATTATTATCATTATTGCTAAATGTTATATTATTTAACAGTTGTAATAAATATTATAATTAAAAAAAAAGTAGACCAGTATATTTTTTACCTTTTATAAGTATATTTTTATTCCCGTAGGATAGTTATAGTAATGGTCCGAAAATCGAAAATGTAAATTTATGCATTTCTCGACATTTTGAAGGTTTCTGAACATTTTGCTGGCATACCTCAGAAACTAAATGGATGTGTGTGTGTGCGTTTTGTATGTCCGCATTTTTTCGTCCACGTTTTCGGGCGCACAGATCAATCGATTTGAATGGTTTAAAAAACATTCGATTTCTATTGATAGGAAGACGTGCTGATTAGTTTTTGGCGAAGGCAGGTCTAGCAGTTACGGAGATACAAAGCAAAGAGTGCAGAAAATAGAATTCGAGTTTTTGAGAGAACTGAGTATCGGATTTGAATGATATAAAAAAAACATTCAATTTGTAATGATTGGGAGAAGTGGTTATTAATTTTTGACAAGGGTAGGTCCAGCGGTTTCGGAGATACAGAGCTAAATCTGCAAAAAATGACAGTTTTTGAGTGAACTTAGCGTTCGATTCGAATGATCTAAAAAACTCTCTGCTTGTATTGACAAAAACAATTGCACTCGAGGATAAAAAATTATTACATATTTTTTATTTTCTATAAAATATTTTTGTAGTTTTGGATTAAAAATTCAAAAAATTGCCCAGGCTAAGCACAGTCTAAGCGCCACTCTGATACAAATATTTACTCGAGTGCGTTTAGACTGTTTATGTACTTTTCCAATTTTGTGATTAACAATCGTCATTTCATTTCATTTCGAATTAAATTTCAAAAAAAAAAATAAAAAATTGCCTTAATTTACACAAAATTGAAAAAGTGCTCCTGTATAGTCACAGTCTAAACGCATTTGCAAATAATTTTGTGCGACATTTTCGCTTATACTGTGCTTAGCTCGGCGGCATTTTCACATTTCAATTTTATAATATTTTATTGAAAAATGTGAAAATGCCGCCAAGCTGAGCATAGTATAAGTAAAAATGTCGCACAGAATTATTTGCAAATGCGTTTAGACTGTGACTATGCGGGAGCACTTTTTCAATTTTGTGTAAATTAGGCAACTATTTTTTTTTTTTGAAATTGGATTGGAAGTGAAATGACGATTGTTAATGTTCTGGAGATAAATTGATTTATTTATAATTTACACTTGATTTGCTCAGATATA